AAATCTGTGAATACAAAAAACATTAAAACTATGAAATATACACAATCAAACTCATATAATGTGTTACATTGACATAACTAACACACACAAAAAAAAACAGAACACAAAATACAATAAATATATGAAATACAAAAATAAATACTAACTATAACATAATAAAAATTCCATATACACTTCCAAACGCATTGTAACATGAATTTTTTTAATCTTAAAAGTTACTAAACAAATTAAATTAAACATGCAAGATACAGAACATGCCAAAAAAAAACTATTCTCCCACAAATTGGTCTTCTTCAACTTCATGGTTATGAATTTGTGTGGGATTTTGCACATCGACGGATTCATGCATTTTTCCCCATCGTATATCCTGCTTAGAATTAGAAGCGGAACCTACATTATTGTTTAAGTCTTGAGTGAAAAAAAATTAAACGATGAAAAATCGGAAGAACTTTAATTATTTTGTCCAATATCTCTAGTAACTCTCTTGAAAACGTCCATTGAAGAGAGAATTATGTAGTCTCAAACCTTAAAAAATGTTTTAAGAATAACAACAAAACAATTTTTTTTTTTAAAAAAAACACTAAAATCAGTAAGTAAATAAATGAGAAATCTGAAAAACGTAATACCCAAATCAAGGTTAATCTTCAAATCAAATCTTGCAACGAAATTAAATAAGAATAATAGAAAATATTAATATATTGAATCGAAAATCTATGGAATTAATTTGGAAGAATGTTAGAGAGAGAAATTGAAAAGAAGAGTAAGAAAAGAGAGAAAAATCTAGGGATTTGATTAAAAAGAAAGTAAGAGAGAGAAATTGATAAGCTTAAGAAAAGAGAGAAAAAAATTGAAATGGCATTAATATCTATCCAATTAGATAAATATAGGAAAATGTGTAATTTATATGAGAGAGAAAAAGGGTATAAATAATGAGAGAGAAAATATTAATAATATCAGAATAATTATTTATTTTTAAAATAATAATATTTTTGACATGTTTACTAATATCTTTAAAGTAGAAATATTAGCACTAAATAAATTGATTTTTTTGACTAATTAGCTAAATTTCCCTTTTTTCAATCCCAACAATTTCCAGCCCACTCCAACCTCGACCCAGCCCAAATTCTTTTTCTCTTCACAAAAGAGAACCTAACACGTTTAGCAGCTTCCCAACGACATCGATACACGATATTTTCACAGCGTCAAAACGAACCAACAAAAACAGCGCGTGAACGACTCCAAAACCACCTTATACGCGCCTCACCTCTCCTCATGCGAGAACAAGTAGTAGCAACGGTCACAAGAAATACACGACAGATTATACGATGTCAAATTTTATACTCGCTTTCTCCTTTTTGCTTTGCCAGAAGTCATACAGCAGCGGTCAGTCGACTTGTTCAGTCTGCAGTTCACGTATTCGTCCTTGGGGGCTGGGAGATTGACCCACGTCGCGCCCTAAAGACGATGGAATTGATTCCAGCCGTTCAACCCCCTCCCCCCCCTTTCCTCTTTTGAAGCGGGTTGAATTCTCAAAGAAAAGGTGTTCATCCTAAAATGGTGAAAGATTTTAAAATTCGAAATTGAAATGGATCTTTTCTCATCTAATTTCATTCACTTTCCCCAAAAATCAACTCTAGATTTTCCCTCTCTATATAAGCGCCTGTTTTGCTCCATTAGAGGGGTTGGAGATTTTTGATTGAAAAAAAAGGGGTGTTGAAGAATTTTGTGTTGGTGAAAATACAGGAAGTTAGCTAAGTGATGAAAGAAAAAGATATATTTAAGCCAAAGGTTTCCTAGAAAATTTTCCGATTCGGTCTTTCTGTCATCTGTTTTGCTTTGTTGGTTCAAGTTTTTTTGGAGTCGTTCTTCGGTGTAGTAGTTGCTGTCCATCTCTTCGCTCCAACCCAGTTCGCTGCCCACAAAAAGGTAAACACCTCTAACCCCTTTTATTTAGATTTCATGTTCAATATGTTGGATTTGAGGTGGCTTATGTTTTGTTTTCAAGTCGTTTAAATGACTGATTAGAGCATGTTTTCTCTGTCTCTTTTTCACTCATCCTGAACTTGTGGTCACTGTATTTGCTTCAAGTATAGTTTGTTTACTGGTTTGTCATCGTTTTATGCTTGTTTTTTTTATTGTCGTAATATTCGTGCTTCCGTCATATGTTTTGAGAGTATAGGGTGCATTATGCAGTCACACATTTAGTTATTTCAGATGTACTTCAAAATAGCATGCCTGCAAATCTGTCTAGTTTTGAATGGAAATTTCTTTTGTTCGTCCCTTTGTTCATTCGTCACCCGATATTTTTAAATTCTAGTTGTAGTCGAGAATACATTTGTCTCCTTTACTTACTAAAGCACGGGTCAATTTTTGTTGGTGTTATTTAAATAACTATCTTAATAACTATTAAAGCATGTTCATACCTTTCTTCCTCTTTGAAATTGTAAAAATTTGGAAGTCCATCCCTCTTTCATGCCTACAAAATAATGTCTTGTTGTATTACTTTTGTCCTTTTTGTTGATTAGTACATGTGCAAAGCTTTAACTTCCGCTTAATATCATATATCCTGTTTGTCATTTTCTTAAGCATGTTAGATTATAGGTATGCATTCTTCCTTATTTAGAATTTACTGTTGTTGGTCGCAGAGAAAGATTATTCATGTGTATCATTCTGTGGCGAAGAATTGAGTGTCTGTCTACCACCGTTTGTTCTCTAGGATACTGGTATTTTCGAGTTTTGCATTTCCATTTTTTTAAAGTGCAGTTATATGTTAAGAAACATGTTTTGGCCCATTTATTGTCCATTGTTTGCTGTTACTGTTGTATTTGCTCCTTTTAATCTTTGCTATTGAGTTATTATTGGGTACATTGGCTTATTCAAAGCTATGTGATCACAAGTTGATCATGCTTAAATATCCCAAATTGGAAATTTCTTTTCTGATTATTGTATTAGTTATTTAAGGTCACTGAAATGCTATAAAAATGGATTTGAGACCCTCTCTGTGATATCTCTTTGTCTTTACTATGTTCAAAAGTGAAGTGTTTTAGTATATCGATTCAATTTATTCGATCCTTCTTTACATTAAATCGATTTGTTACTCATTTTATTACTCTTTTGTTGGCATGTGAAATATATCGGGGTTCTCATGGATCCTATCCTTGAATTTTTCTATTGGGTTACGGAAACCCAATTTCTTATTTCGAGTCAGCCTCTCCTTTAAAAGTTGAAAAATCAGTTCTGGAAAAAGGGGGTATAGGTCGCAAAAATTGTATACATTGTATACACAACAAAGTGTTGCAAAGCAGAGTTGAAAAGAGTGGGCCAAAAGCCCATTCCTTTTTTAAGATTTGTATTTTGTTGTTTTGAGCCTAAGTCCTTATTTATTTATTATTATTATTATTATGATAGAATTTTAGGACAAGTTATAAATTCCCAAAGAAGAATAGATGCATCTCGAGTGGGCCTAAGGCCCAAAATAAAATGGGCTCAAATATTGGTCCAAGTGGACAAAAATCAGATTTGGGCACAACTCTCTTTTCCTCATTTAATTTTCGGAAAAGGGCCTAAAATATCCTTAAAGTATTGAAAATGGTATAAAATTATCCCTCATCCACCTATTAGCTCCAAAATATCCTTCACACCCACCTATTGGGTCCAAAATACCCTTGTCATCCACCTTTTGGTTCAAAATTGACCACTTATTTAACGGTTTTATATTTAAATTATTTAAATATTATTTTAAATACGCGGCGCTCAACTATTTGTTATAATTTAACTTATTAGTATAATTTATTATAAATCAATTCACTACCCACCTATTACTAATTAAATCCCTCCAAATTAATAAACTAATCACATTATTAATGCAACAACAGAAAAACTACATCAAATTGAGTGTTTTTAAAAATTTGAGGCGAAAATATCTATAGTAGTAAATTATCATATATTCAAGTGTCTAAATAAAAATTATGGGTAAACTTGAAAGTTTAATTACGTTTATCTTAATTATTCTTACGTTTCAATTATGTGATGTTACTTCATAAGTAACTCTTTTTAAAAATAATATATTAAAAGTTTTAAAACAAATCATAAAAATTTATGAAATTATATTTTTAGATAGTGCATGAATTAATTCGAGATATATTACTTCTTTATCTTTAATAATAAATTTCTAAATTAATCTTGAAAGAGAATTCTATTGAAAGTCTCCTCCTAAATAAGCGGCTCATTCTAAATTTAATTGAGGCTTCGATTCAGACTCGAATAATTTTGGATGTAATTTTAAGCAATCTATAATTTCATCGTGTTTTAGTAGTCTTTATGCGATTTTGATATTATAATTGGATTTATAATTGAGTGAGGTTTAATTAGAAATGAGTAGGTAGTGAGTTTGTTCATAAATTATATTAATAAATAAAATTATAACCAATAGTTGAACGTCAAGTATTTTAAAAAATATTTAAAGATTTTAATTTTAAAACAATTAAATGAGTGATCAATTTTGAATCCAAAGGTGGATAACAAGGGTAATTTGGAGCCAATAAGTGGACGAAGGGTAATTTTGTACCATTTTCAATACTTTAAGGGTATTTTAGGCACATTTCCATTTAATTTTGCTGTCTGTTTACTTGTTAGTATTTGTCGTCAGTCTTTAGGTCGAAAAATTTAAATCCCCGCAAAACACCACTGTGTTCTAACTTAACTAAATCGATCATCTCTAAATGGAATTAAAAAATACTAATAATTTTACAAATTAATATCTCACTCAGATAGTAGGTCAGTGTTTTCCTTTCCCCCTTTTTAAAATGGAACAAAAAATAGTTCTATTTTTAAAATTCAAACTAAGTTAAAATTATTTTAGTCAAATAAATTAATTATTGGATAATCGTGTATTAGAGGGCATTTTGAGTGCTTTAAAACCCTTCTCGAAGTGCTAATAATAACCCCCTTAAATATTTTCAATCGATTTACTGTTTTTATCCTTTGAGAATAAATTTTCTTCATTTTTCATTAAAAATTGAGTAACGATTCTAAATTAGTTGAGAGTTTAAATATTTTCTAAATAAAATAATTATAAAAGTCATTTAAAATTAAGGATATACATAACATCTATTAGAATTCGACTGGATAAAGATGGGATATGCAAAATTTCTGACTAAAATATATATATGCGTCATATTAAGATATGGTAATTCAAAGGATACTTTTGTTCTTAAGGACAGTTGAGTTTCTAAAGGATATTATTTGCTCTCTTATGTTGTTACAAAATATTTCATTCAGGAAACTTCATTTTAGAATGAAAACAAATAATATATTTAGCGAAAATTTTATATGAAAATATAATGAATTAATATCATATAATTTTTATTTAATTTTTATTAATAATATTTATATACAATAAAAGAATAAAATTGTAATCTAACTTTGAAGTTAACATGTTACCATTTATAATAGTATATATGATATATGATAGTATAGTATAATATTCACATACGTGCTTATGAGCAATATTCAAATATACTTCTCCAATCAAGAGCAATTGAAACTTCTAGACAGTATTTTGAAAAGTTTAATTTTTTGGATGAAAATTTTGGAAATTGTCCTCAAATTTAGATTTATCTATGAAATTCAACTACCATGCTATCTACCACAACATTTTCCCCAATTTAGAATTTGTGCCAAAAGTAATTATTCCTCCTGTCTATGATAAGTGGTCTTTCAATTTTTCTTTATGTTAAACATTCAGATATCTTCTAATTATTCAAAATAAATAAATAAATAAATACATAACAATTGTTTCCTTCCGTAAAGTAAAAACAATTGCTAAAAGTACAATACAAAATATTGGTCAGCTACAATTAAATGTACTACATGCTAAGATTGACAATATGTATACTCATATATAAAAATTGTACATTTCAATAAATTAAATTTGTGATAATTTCTTTAAAATCTAACTAAAAAGAGGAGATAGTGAAGTAGATTCGCTAATTGAAATCAAGGTACTTACTATCCATTATAATAGTTACTTTTTTTTAAAAAAAAAATGAAAGTTGATTGATTCAATTGATGCCATAACTCATGAAAATGGTGATTTAGAAATGAGGAAATCCTTTTTGATTTTTATAGCTCTTTTTATTTACATTTTGAATCTTTCATTTCATGTATTTATTCCTCTTAATTAATTAACCTACATTTTTATTGCTCCATGTAACTCTTCCAATTCTCCTAATTATCTTTACAAATAAGAGTCATACACTTAAGTGATAAATAAAGGTTGATAGAAATTGGTTGTTGCCCTCAGGGGGAGGAGCTATAATGTATCTGAGGGGTGGGGGTTGGGGGTTGAAGGGTCAAGCGGACACTTTTCGTCAAAAATTTATATAGTGTATATTAAAAAAATGTATTGTAAAATAAATAATTATTATATTTTAGACACCCTAAAAATAAAGTGATAAGATAGCTCAGCGATCAAAATTGCTCCATGAAAGCATAGTGTACATTCATCAAATGTTTTTTTTTGACGTTCTTTTATATTATATTATATTTTGTAAGAAAAATTGTAAAAAAAAATATATATATAAATCAACCAAAACCAAAATTAAAAATGTTCCACCATTTTTTAAAATCTAGTTTGATTCATCTTTATCTTCTTTATTTTTATAGTTTAGATTATTGAAAGGTTAAAACCTAAAAGTATTTTTTTCTCAACTAAACTCTCTTTTCTCTCTCTCTCTTTTTTTATTGTTCTTTTGCATCCTCCGTTCTTTTCATATCAAAATAAAATATGACTCATTAGAACTACATATTATGCATTTTGATTTTAAAAAAATTAGTATACTCATTTATCAAAAAATATAAAAGTACTTACTTAATGCTTGGACTCTTCGTAAAATTTCTGGCTGTGCCACTAATTGTCCTTAGTGTAGGGATATTTTAAATTAAAGACATTACATTTCAACTAACATATATACAACATTGGTGCACATAAGGACAACTAGTTATTATGAATCCTCTTGGTTACAGTTGGTTTTTGGTCATGAATAAAATATTTTCCATCTTAGAATTTTTGAATGCGCGGTATACTTTCTTGTTGCGCCTCCGCTACTCGTAAAGATGGGTTCCCAAAAAAGGTTGGGGGTGACATGAGATATATTTACGATAAAATTTGTTGATTGTCACTGTTATTCCCATTTAACTGAGGTCAAATTAGTGTACAACATATTGGTGATTTCTAAATTAACTTAACTTAAGATCTTCTAACCAATTAGAAATTCTAATGTAAGGGTTCAATTAAGCGATAATACATAAATATGTCATTTAACTTGGCTTCAAATTACATTTATGCCCTTTAACTTTGGGTGTGCACAAATAGACACTTTAACTCGTATAAAGTTGAATAAATACACACATGTTCTACATGTCATCCTCCATGTAATTTTTTATCCTACTTAGTGTCCTACGTGTATTTTGCCATGTAGTACTCATGTGTTTATTTATTTTAAAGTTGGATAGTTAAAGTGCTTGTTTGTGTGTTATGAAAGTTGGAGATCAAAGTTAAACTTTGAAACTAAGTTTAGGGTCTAATATGTGTATTATGCCTTCAATTAATCCTAAAGGGAAGGTGTTAGACATCCTTTAAGATCCGTATTGAAACGGTTAACCGGCCAAACTTAGGTTAATTAATTTTAAGAATAATGCACAACTACCTCTCAACCTATGCCCGAAATCTCAGAGACACACTTATAAGTAAGATCTTACTACCACTGAGCTTATTTTATAAGTAATTTTTTATCCCTTTCTGACTTACGTGGCACTAGGTAGAAAGATTTGGAAAACATTTTATTTTAAAGCTTTTTTTTACAAAATTTTTAAAATTGAAAAAGATTTTAAAGAAAAGAGTTAATTTCTTTAGATAAATTTAAACAAATCCATGACTAAAGAGGGTAATTAAAAATAGAAATTTGCTCATTGACTAACAAGGCGATACCTCTTGGGAAAAAGTTGAAAAATTCGAGTTTAAAACATAATATCTTTTTTTTTTCCAAAGACATTGTCAAGTTTGAACAACACTTAATAAATGTAGTGAGTTTAAAGTGGTTCAAAAAGAAGTGTCTTTACTATTCTATTTTTTTTAAAAAAGGGCTGCCAAATCAATATATATATATAAATGAGGACCATAGACAAGGTGATGTGGCACCTCTCTATGGCCTCCATTTGCATTTATATTCTCTTTTTTTTGCTTTTTTTAAAAATAAATTAATTATTATATCATAAAAAGAATTACTAAAATTTATTACAAATAAATATTTTATTAATGGAGAATCATTTATAACTAAACCTCTTCATCTTTTTTATTTATT